AGTAGAAACTCCTGATCACAGGTCTTCCAGAAGGATCATCCAGAGGGGAAGAAAGCTCTCAATATCCCACATGATACAGATGTGGGAAGAGCCACAGCCACTGCCAACAAAATGAAACAGATAGCATCTGTGTGCCCTGAGCAGCCGCAGACGGTGGCGGGAGCCACTGCTCTAGTCGTAGGGTCTGAACCATATGCCTTCCTGCGGATGACAGCAGAAGAGACTGAAGATTTGATGGAGACCTGTGTGGCTTAAGGCCCGCCGCTATGAAGGGTTTGGCCAGGTGTCCCACTCCTGAGCTGGTTTCTTACAACAGGTACTTGCTGGCAACGACGGACTAGGTGGTTTGGGCCAATCTTCCTGATGATGACGATGAGAAAAGCAAGATAAACATCATTCTTCACAGAACTAGAAAAAACAATCCTAAAATTGACATGGAACCAAAAAAAAGCCCGCATACCCACAGCAAGACCAAGCAAAAAGAACAAACAGAAGAAGGCATCACATGACCTGATTCCAAACAATTCTATAAGGCCACGGTCACCCAGGGAGCATGGTACTGGCATAAAAACAGGCACATCCAATGGAACAGAACAGAGAACCCAGAAATAAACCCAAATGCTTACAACCAGCTTCCCCACTTTATGTTTTGTTTGCTTTGTTGACCTTCAGCAAAAACATAAAGTGGGGAAAGGACACCCTATTCAACAAATGGTGCCAGGATAATTGGCTGGCCTCATGTAGGAGAATGAAACTGGACCCTCACCTTTATCCTTGTATAAAAATCAACTCAAGATGGATTAAGGACTTAAACCTAAGACCCAAAACTATAAAAATTCTAGAAGATAACATCAGAAAAACCCTTCTAGACATTGGCTTAGGCAAGGATTTCATGACTAAGAACTCAAAAGCAAATGCAATAAAAACAAAGATAAATGGCTGGGACTTAATTAAAGAGCTTTTGCACAGCAAAGGACCAGTCAGCAGTGTAAACAAATAACCCACAGAGTGAGAGAAAATCTTCACAATCTATACATCTGACAAAGAACTAATATCCAGAATCTACAACAAACTCAAACAAATTAGCAAGAAGAAACCAAACAATCTCATCAAAAGTGAGCAAGGACATGAATAAACAATTCTCAAAATAAGTTATACAAACGGTCAACAAATATATGAAAAAATGCTCAACATCATTAATGACCAGGGAAAGCAAATTAAAACCACAATTCGATACCAACTTATTCCTACAAGAATGACCATAATCAAAAAATAATAGATGTTGGTGTGGATGCAGTACACAGGGAACACCTCTACACTGCTGGAGGGAATGTAAACTAGTACACGCACTATGAAAACAGTGTGGAGATTTCTTTTTTTTTTTTCAGATGAAGTCTCGCTCTGTTGCCCAGGCTGGAGTGCAGTGGCGCGATCTCAGCCAACTGCAACCTCCATCTCCCGGGTTCAAGCAATTCTCCTGCCTCAGTCTCTCAAGTAGCTGGGACTTCAGGCATGTGCCACCATGCCTGGCTAATTTTTTATACTTTTGGTAGAGACAGGGTTTCACCATGTTAGCCAGGATGGTTTCAATCTCCTGACCTTGTGATCTGCCCACCTTGGCCTCCCAAAGTGCTGGGATTACAGGTGTGAACCACCATGCCAAGCCTGGAGATTTCTTAAAGAACTAAAAGTAGAACTACCATTTGATCCAGCAATCCCACAACTGGGTATCTATCCAGAGGAAAAGAAGGCATTATACAAAAAACATACTTGCACACACGGTTATAGCAGCACAATTCACAATTGCAAAAATGTGGAACCAACCCAAATGCCCATCAATCAAAGAGCAGATAAAGAAACTGTGACATAGATATGTGTATATATATACACACACACACAATAGAATACTACTCAGCCATAAAAAGGAATACATTAATGGCCTTCACAGCGACCTGGATGGGATTGGAGACTATTATTCTAAGTGAAGTAATGCAGGAATGGAAAACCAAACATTATATGTTCTCACTCATAAGTGGGAGCTAAGCTATGAGGATGCAAAGGCATAAGAATGACATAATGGACTTTGGGGACTCATAGGAAAGGGTGGGAAGTGGGTGTGCAGCGTATACTGTTCGAGTAATGGATGCACCAAATCTCACAAATCACCACTTAAGAACTTACTCATGTAGCTAAACACCACTGTTTCCCAATAACCTATGGAAATAAAAATTTCTTTTAAAAAAAAAGCAAGATAGAAGACAGGAAGCATCTGCCCAAAAGCACAAAGTAGCTACTATGATAGTGAGCAATTCCTGGGCCAAAATCCAGAAGACGATGGAAATTCAGAAGGGAAGCCTGGTGACTGGGACCACCTTGCCCACTCCAAGGGGGTAGCTGAGGGGCAAGGTGGAACCTCTAATGGCTCAGTGGGAAGAGAGATCCAAGCTGCAGTCCAGGGCAGGCCAAGGACGGGGTCCCTGGCAAAATACTCACAAGCAGGATGGGGACCCCAACAGAATGTAACTGGGAGTTAAGAGCAAAAAAAAAAAAGAAACATAAACCTGCCCTTGAATGGACTGTGGGCTGACTTAAAAGTTACCTAGGTGGCTCTGAGAATCTCAAACCCTGAATTTAAAATAAATGGATTTTGGAGTGCTAACACCCCCGAGCATGTGGGAGAAGCAAGGGGAAATGCTCCTTGGTAGTAGAAAGCATAGTTCTAGGAATCAAATTGTTTCCATAGGAACAACTGGGACCCACGTGAAAAAGAATGAATGAAGTTGGATCCCTACCTCACACTGTATGCCAAAAATTAAAGTGCATCAAATATCTAAATTTAAAAGCTAACACTCAACATCTCAGAATAAAATACAGGTGTAAACCTTCAGGACTCTGGATTAAGTCATCATTTCTTGCATATGACCCAAAAAGCAATAAAAGCAAGGAAGAACTGAAATCTACTCCAATATGGACAGACCTTGAAAACAGGATACCAAGTGAAAGACGCCAGCCATGAAAGGTCATGTACTACAAGAGCCCACTTCTGTGAAATGCTGACAACAGGCAACTCTAGAGACACAAAGCAGATGAGCAGCTGCCTAAGATGGACAGGATGGTGACAAATGGGCAGTGCCTGCTAATGGGTACAGTGTCCTTTGTTTTTGAGACAGGGTCTCACTCCTATCAGCCAGGCTGGAGTATAGTGGCACAGTCACAGCTCACTGCAGCCTTGACCTCCCAGGCTCAAGTGATTCTCCCACCTCAGTCTCCTGAGTAGCCACATGGCCACCATGCCCAGCTGATTTTTTGTATTTTTTAGTAGAGACAGGGTTTCTGCATGTTGTCCAGGCTGGTCTCAAACTCCCAGGCTCAAGGGTGAATTTACAGTATGTAAATTATACTTAATAAAGCTGTAATAAAAAATTATGTCAATAATTTTCCCCAAATATAATGCCCAGCATGAACTTGAAATAACCTGGCACAAAGATGACAAAAATGACATGAACAAGAACAGCACAACAGACAACAGAACCAGGTTCAAATTCCACCAAAAACTACTGTCAAAAAAACCATGCTGATGACATTTATGATGATAAAAGCCAAGCAGACATTTCTAAAAGAAATTTACAACTGCAAAAGTAGTATTTCCAGCTTGAAGAAGCAGCAACTAGAAATTCTAGATACAAGGCAAAACGGACTCTAAAACCAAAACAAATGGATAAGATTAGAAACTCTTGGACTGAAAACTGCTGTCGTGGATAGAACGCATTCCCCCAAATCCATATCCTGAAATCCTGCCCATCAAGATGATGATGTCAGGAGGCAGGACCTTTGGGAGGTGTCCCCATGAATGGGGCTGGTGCCCTTATAAAAGACGGCCCAGAGGCCTGCCTTGTCCCTTGCGCCATGTGAGGACACAGATGGAAGGTGCCATCTGCGAACCAGGAAGCAGGCCCTTGCCAGACACTGGACAGAACAGTGCCATGATCTTGGACTTCCCAGTCTCCAGAACTGTGAGAAACACGTTTGCTGTAAATAAGTCACTCAGTTTATCATATTTCATCAGAGTAGTCCAAGTAGACTAAGACAACTACCATAACCAAAACCCAGTGAACAGGAATAAATTTAATAGCAGATTAGAAGCAGCCAAAAAGAGAAATAATGGGCTGGAAAGTAACAAGAAAAATAAACCAGGCCAAAGAAATAAAAAGAATGGTAGGGCTAGAAACAATGGCTCACACTTGTAATCCCAGCACTTTGGGAGGCCAAGGTGGGCAGATCACTTGAGCTGATGAGTTCAAGACCAGCCTAGGCAACATGGTGAAACGCTGTCTATAAAAAAGATACAAAAATTAGCCAGGCATAGTGGCATGTGCCTGTAATCCAAGCTAACTTGGGAGGCTGAGGTGGGAGGACCGATTGAGCCTGGGAGGCAGAGGTTGCTGCAAACTGAGATCACACCACTGCACTCCAGCCTGGGCAACAGAGGCAAACCTTGTTTCAATAAACAAAGAAAAAAGATTGGTAAATACAAAAAGAGAATAGAAGTAAAATACAGTGAGAAAGTCTAACATATATTTAAATGTAGTCTCAGAGAAGGAGAAATGGGGAAAAGCTGTCCTTTAAGAAAACGGCTGAAAATTTTTTCCAGAACTTAGAAAGATAATATTCCACTGTATTTCAGAAGCCCAGCAAATCCCAAGCAGAATAAATTTTAAAAAGAATCCATACGCAGACACAACAAAGTGACACTGTAGAAAATGAAAGCGAAAGTCGTAGAAGCAGCCTATAGACACAAGCTGCCTTTTAAAGACAAGTGAAAATGACATGGCTTTTTGATTAGCCTCCATGTCATCAGAATATTCAGCTATTAAAGACAAAACTAACTATATGGGTTAATCCATCTTACCTACGCTGGAACAAAATTAAAATTAAAATTAAAATGATCTCAGAAAGGCACGTGGAACTGAACCGGCTGTGAAACATAGCTGACGACCTACCTTCAGCCACTGCTCGGCCTGCTCCTTGCTCTGGACGGCAAGAACAAGCGGGTCCGTGCCCTGCTGAGTAATCTTCAGCTCGTGCTTCTTCTTCTTGCTGTCTTTCGGGATGTACATAATGTTACAACCTTGGAGAGGCAGTTCCATCTGAGGCTGCTGGTCCTTGGAACTTTTATAGCACTGCATTCAACACAACAAATCAATTGATATTATAAGAGAGTTCAAACAGAAACACTGAGGAAGCTCTAGCATCATGAAAATGTGAGCGCGGGCAAGGCATCTGAAGGTCTGCATCTGCAGATGAACAGTTCACATGCACAGTGCTCTTCACACCGACACTTGGCCTCCAAGTGTGAAAAAGTACACCCATTCACTGACTCAGCAAAAGCTTACTGAGCATCTATCCCACGATTCGACAAACACAGAAAGTCCCTACTCTGATAAAGTTTATATTCCAGTGGAGTGTCTTCATTCAAACACATGAATGTATTCACACATATAAAAATACAGGCCAGGCACGATGAATCACGCCTGTAATCCCAACACTTTGGGAGGCCTAGGCAGGTGGATCACCTGAGCCCAGGAGTTCGAGACCAACCTGGGCAACATCGATAAACCCCATCTCTACCAAAAACAAAAAATTAGCCAGGCATAGTGGTGCATTCCTGTAGTCCCAGCTGCTTGGGAGGCTGAGGCAGGAGGATCTCTTGAGCCTGGGAGCCCAAGGCTGCAGTGAGTCATGATTGCTCCACTGCACTCCAGCCTGGGTAACAGAGTAAGACTTTGTCTCAAAAACAAAAAATAAAAAAATAATAAGCCAAGTGTGGTGGCTCATACCTTCAGGCCTAACACTTTGGGAGGCTTACGCAGGAGGGTTGCTTGAGGCTAGGAGTTCAAGATCAGCCTGCACGACCTAGCGAGACTCTGTCTCTACAAAAAATAAAAAATTAGCTGGACACGGTGGCACCCACCTGTAGCACCAACTACTTGGGAGGCTGAAGCAGGACAGTCACTTGAGCCCAGAAATCAAGGTTACAGTGAGCACACTACTGCACTCCAGCCTGGGTGACAGAGAAAGGCTCTGTCTCAAATAAACAAAGCACATACACACACATTTAACATAAATGTTTATTTAAATGTATATATAAAATGCATTTATATTTATGTGAATCATATATAAAATATACTATTAGATTTGTTGCAACTCCACAGCCCTCATGAGAGAGACAATATAATAATTTGGATACTTTAAGATCCTATATTGCTTGGTATCTGCCTATCTCCTCTTTCTGAAAGACATAAATTATTTTAGTAAGAGGATAATATCAATCCATAATGTAGAAAAATGTCCGCCAAGGTCTTTCCAGGTGACTAGAGAATCCAAAACTCAAGCTGCTCCATCTACACAACTGACATCCACTCTAAAGATAGTGATTGGCGGCCAGGCGAGGTGGCTCATGCCTGTAATCCCGGCACTGTGGGAGGCCGAGCCCGGCGGATTACCTGAGGTCAGGAGTTGGAGACCAGCCTGATCAACATGGTGAAACCCCGTCTCTATTTCAAAAAAAAAAAAAAAGATTTTGATTGCTCAGGTAAGAACTGAGGCTTACCTTAAATGGTTCTTGCTTCATCTTTATCTATAAAACTAACAATCGAATCCTTGCCCAAAGCTTCCCCTGCCCCCATTTGTTGACCTGTATTACCTGGGGCCAAAGCACACCTCCTAACAGTCCAAGAGGGCAGATCTGGGTCCCAGATCTGTGACTCATTTATCAGTGTCCTAAGGTGTTTCTTAAATTTCCTGAGTGTTTCCTCATTTGCAAATGTGTTTTGCAGTTATTGTTATTATTATTTTATTGAATTAAGTCATTAGCAACAATAACATCTGCTACCAAGTGCTGAGTGTCCACGTCACATGAGGCATTTCACGCACCTCCATCAGCATGGTTGCTCATGCTGCAGATTATGACACCGAGGTGCAGCTGGTTAAGCAACCTGCCTGAAGTCAGGCAGCCTGAAAAGTGGCAGACCCAGACTCCAGCTGCAACTGCGCATGTCCAGAACCTGCATCTTGACTCTAAACATTCACTGACGAAGGAAGGAAGGAAGGAATAGCTCTTTTCAGAAGTGATTTCTAGAGTCCTTTCCTGTTTTTTTGTTTTTGTTTTCAGATGGAGTCTTGCTCTGTTGCCAAGGCTGCAGTGCAATGGCGCGATCTCAGCTCACTGCAACCTCCGCCTCCCAGGTTCAAGTGATTCCTCTGCCTCAGCCTCCCAAGTAGCTGGGACTACAGACAGGAGCCACCGTGCCCAGCTAATTTTTGTATTTTTAGTAGAGATGGGGTTTCACCATCTTGGCCAGGCTGGTGTCAAACTCCTGACCTCGTGATCCACCCACCCTGAACTCTCAAAGTGCTGGATTACGGGCTGAGCCACCGCACCCGGCCTTTCTGTTTTGCTGTTCTAAATCCAGGACTTTGAAGTATACAGATAAGAAATATATCCCCTCCTTTTTAAAAATCCAACTGATCTTAAAAGGAAGAAAAAAATACCTCAACTAACCTCAGATTTTTATGAATGTTTACCATTTCAGATGTTTTGCTTTTAAGTTTAGCATTTCGGATTTTTTGCATTTTGAGCAAATATAAAGAAGAAAAAATACCTCAATTAACCTCAGATTTTTATGAATGTTTACCATTTCAGATTTTTTGCATTTTGAATAAGTATAAAAAGGCAACTAATTGTACAATGGAAGGAATCAGAAAGGGAATTTTATTTTTGACTAAATCATGTAAACTTTTTTAATCAGCATATAGTAACTGCACATATTTATGGGGTACAGAGTGATGTTTTGATACATAAAATGTATAGTGATCAGATCAGAGTGATTAGCATACCCACCATCTCAAACACTTATCATTTCAGAAAGGGAACTTTATAACAATTCTTCCTTAAGTTAAATGCCTCACAAGAGAGATGCTATCAGCACTAGGACAGGCTGCCACTTGGCAGTCCTAGCCGGCTGGATTTCCCGGACGCTGCCTTTGAAGCAGACAGCAGCAGGCAGAAGGTTTATGAATGGCGTCCATCCCGAAGAGAACACTAGGAGTAAGGAGAGGGAGGAGCAGGGCGGGCAAAGAAGCCTAGTCTGAGTGGCATCAGGGATACCACCATGAGAGCTCTGGGGCTGGAAGGCCCCATCAATGCTGCCCAGTGAGTCTAGGTGTGTACCTGCCCCACACACATTGAATGCAGACCCTGGGGAGGGAGCTCGGCCTTGGGCTCTATGCCGCTCTTCAATGCAGACAGCCCCGAGGTGGGCTCAGCAGCCCTGCCAAGGAAATTCCCCCCTGAGGACTGATGCGGGAATCTGGGAACACCACTGTATCCGCCCCAGAGCTACCTGGGCACAGAAGGAACAAGTTCCAGAAGGAGATACCAAAAAAGCTGTTAATGGCAGTAACCTGTGGGAAGACAGAGTGGGAACATTCAGGGGAAGAACATGGCTTTTTCTTTTCTGTGCTGTTTAAACTTGGAAAGCATTTACTTTCATCACTGTTCATTATTTTTTATGCCAATGGGAATCACCTGAGCCCTGGATCATAGGCCACTTTTGAAAGGAAAGAAGCTTCATAATAAAACTAACTTTGATTCTGCATTTGACCCAAGACAGTGCTTTCTCCTGGTTTTTCAGTGATTTTTTTTTAAATATTCACAACCACTCCAAATAGTAGGCATTATCATTCTGGTTTTGAAGGGGGAAAGCTGGTAGGAGCCCAGATGGGAGAAAAAGCAGGGGAGGCAGAAAGAAGTCTAGGGGCTGAGGGAGCGGAGGGCAGGGCAGAGGGGCCGGGACTCAGAACCTCCAACGGCTCATCCCTGCGCACAGCACCAAGCTTCCCCCACTGGATCTGGAAGCTTCTCTTTTAAATGAAAGTTGATTGTGTACTTTTAAAACATTTATATAATATATCCACATCTTGTAGTCATTATATCAGGCTGTGAATAAGGACCACAGTCATCTTCCTTTTTCATTTTTTAATATTCCCCATGGCATCATTTTTGGCACATGCTAAATCTGGGAGAAATTCAGGCCACACTTGTGGAAAAAATATGTACTGTGTTTTAAAAAACTGAACAAAAACATTAAAAAATATATAATATCCTAAGAACCTAGTTAAAAAAAAAAAAGTTTCCCACAATTCAAAGACAAAACATGCGTTTATAGAAAAAAAAATATATATAGGATAATCCACTCCACTAGAGTGCTCTACAGAAAATAAATTCTCGTCTTCTGTTTTAGTGATGTAATTTTGAGCAATGTTTACCCCAAGGTTAATGTGAAGGAAAAACAAAAGGCAAAAACATACTCTTAAAGTTCCTAATTCCAAACCAAGCACGGTTTCTTAAAAAAGGAAGGTGGAAAAGGAAGGTGGAGAGGGAGGGAGGGAGGGAAGGAGGGAGGGAGGGAGAAAGGGAGGAAGTAGGGAAGGGAGGGAGGGAGGAAGTGGGGGAGGGAGGGAGGGAGGAAGTAGCGAGGGAGGGAGGGAGGAAGGAGGGGTGGATGGGGGGATGCCACACCGTCCTCCAGGGCTGTAGCCTCCCCGCTGGGGCCTCCACTGGAATAACCTCACAGCAAGGTCCATGTTCTCCCCTTCCCTGCTTCTGTTCCTTACTTGTCTTCCTGTTCTGCCTCTCAGATTAAAAAATAATAATAAAGAATTGGCCCCAAGCTTTCCAAAAGAATTTCCTTTCCTGGCCGCTCCCCGTCCCACTTCTATGACCTGGCTTTGAGGAATCCACTGACTCACTACAAATGAGAAAATCCATCTTACAACCTCTGGCAAGTTAAAATCTTGTGCATTTTCTCAGATGCAAACCACAGGCACTGCCTGGGAATGGAGATGATTTTGTCCGCTGGCTGTTTGGAGCTGGGAAATCAGCAACCTTGAAGACACAGCATGGGTGCGTGCTCCCTGATGGTGTGTGGAGAACCCTCGGGGTACCTCGCTGAGGTCTGAGCACTGCCCTTCCTGCACAGCTCATGTTAATGGTGACTGGGTATAAACTAAAATTACAGCAACCTTATGAAAATGCAAGCGATTCCAAATGTCTCACCAGCAGCTTGGTGTCTTTGATGACGCAAAGCAGCTTGCTCCACTGGCCGAAGCGCTTCTTCCGCAGCAGGAAGGCGCAGATTTTGGCATCCTTGACCAGGTCCATGGAGGCCTCCTCAGAAGGCCACTGGTGCCGGGTTTTTTTCCCCTTCCCGTCCTCTTCCTCTTCATCATATGATTCATAAGAGCTGCTCATTGCATCCGAGTCATAATCTGTAAAAAATGAACACACACTGACAAAACAACGTCTTTACCTTGAAGTTTACCCATGGGCTCAAGAGCATATCATTGTATTTTTAATCACCAAGTAACTGAATGAGAAAGGAACTTTCTCTGTTTAAGGAGAAACACACACACAATGCTAAGACTTGGGCAGTGTAAACTCAGTGGAACGTTGAAGTGCCTACAAATTCTGTGTTTATGAAAACTGTTTCTAGACTGCTCTATATGGACCGGACCCCATGCTGACCCGACACTGACTTGACACTGACTCCCCGCCATATTCCTGCTGGCCGAGCGCTATACTCATTCTGCCGTGTGTCTGGCCGCACAAAACACTTCCCCATGGAGGTCCCCTGCCCTCCCGCATCCACATCTTCATGCCGAAGTCCCCCTGAGGCTGCAATCTGCTTCTCCCTGCGGGCATTCCCCACACGCACATTTCTGACACTCAAGATGCGACCAACGGCCACCTTTCCCTTCTGGGGCATCCTTGGAACTTTCACAGAAATGTACACCTGTCCATCTAATGGTGCCCGCCTCACTCTGTGGCACACTGGCATGTACACTGCTGTGACTTACAGTTTCCCAAACGCATCACCTCTCATTCACCTCAGGTCTCTGCACGTGCCACGCCCTCTAGCAAGCTTCCTGTCCATCCACTCACCCTCCTGCCTTTGCCTGGTAAACGCTCTCATCTTTTGGGGTTTAACTTCCTGATACCTCCTCCAGCAAACACTCCCTGAATCACCAAAGCTGGGTGCTATGGACTGAACTGTGTCCCCCCTGAAATTCAACTGTTAAAGCTCTAACCTCAATATGACTGTACGTGGAGACAGAACTTTTAGGAGGTTACTAAAGTTAAATGAGGTCCTAAGGATGGGGTCCTAATTCCATAGGTCTGGTGGTCTTATAAGGGGAGAGAGAGTGCACGAGAGAGAGAGAGAGAGAGAGAGCACTAGCTCTGCTCATACCAGGTAAGGACACAGTGAGTACCTAGCCATAGTGAGTACCTAGTGAGTACAAGCTGGGAAGAGGCCTCACCAGAACCCAACCATGCTGGCAGTCTAACCTGGACTCCAGGACTGAAGACTTCTCCTGTGGAAGCCACCCACTCCATGGCATTTGTCACTGCAGCCAGAGCAGACTAACACTGGGTCAGATGCCCTTCCTCTGAGTCTGCACACACCCCAACACAAAGTGGATCGCAGCGTGCCTCAATGCTGGCCCCCACTGCAGGCTATTAGCCCCCTGAAGAAAAGGAGGCCATCTTGTTGGAGGTGATCTCCCCAGCAGCTAACAAAGTACCTGGCACAGGGCAAGTACCCAAATCATTGCAGAAGGAAGAACTGCTCAATGTATTTAAATGGTACTGGCAAAGCCCTTGGAAGGACAAACAGCATATTAAAAGTGCTTCCTAAACACCAGCGACCATCATTCCTCTCATTACTTTCAGCTGTGCCAGATGATAGGCTCCCTAGACAGGGTCTGATTCTTCTCTGAATTCCCCTCAGCCCCTAGAAACATCTGGAACACGTTCCGTTCTCAAAACATACTTAAGAGATGAACACCTACACGATAAGTGAATGAGAGATAAGGAGAACAATGGCCAACGTGGTTGGCTGTGCAATTTATCAGAAGTGCCAGAAATGGCAGAGTCTATACAGAAGAGAACTGTATAGGCTCACATTTTCACTCGCTGGAAACCAGAGTTTAACTTGTACTCAGTAATCATGTTTGTTTCATAATTTCCTTACAAAGATTCAATGCTAAGAGGGAGGAACAGAAAGATTAAAGTTTAGGTTGAATTTTCAATAATGAAAAGAAGCCCAGGAGGCCAGGTAAGGGACTCACACCAGTAATCCCAGCACTTTGGGAGGCCAAGGCAGGCAGATTGCTTGAGCCCAGAAGTTCAAACCAAGCCTGGGCAACATAGCAAGACCCCATCTCCATAAAAAGTAAAAAACTAGCCGGGCATTATAGGCCACACCTGTGGTCCCAGCTACTCAAGAGGCTGAGGCAAGAGGATCACTTGAGCCCAGAAGTCCGAGGCTGCAGTGAGCTGTGATCCTGCCACTGCACTCCAGCTTGGGCAACAGAATAAGACCCTGTCTTTTTTTTTTTTTTTTTTAATGCTCAGTCCAGGAAGGATTTTAAGCAAAAGCTAAGGGGACCAAAGAGGTAACTTTGGTAACTACATTAGGAATGGACTGGGGTAGGGACGAGGTAAGAGACAGGAGCAGCTCAGAGACCACGAGGGACGCGATGAGGGGCTGACTCACAGGTTGGGGGTGAACATAACCCCAAGTCTGGGTCACAGGTCTCTGCTCCAATTCTCCCCCATGCTGCTTCACATCACCCCTCAGCCCCACAGGCAGGTTGCTCTCACTGGCTCCACATTCCCCTCCAACACCCACCATACTCATCAGCATCTACACCCACCCAGCACCCCCTGCTTCACATGGCAGCCACAGCTGGCTACTTCAATTTCAATGTTCTTTCAAGTCCCCACATTTCAAGGGGCTTGGTGGATAGGATGCAGGGGTGCCCAGTGGTGAAACACTCCCCTGCTACTGAAGCTCTGCTGGATGGCATGGGAGCGGGGGGAGTGACAGCTTTACAATCTAGGGCAAAATGCAAGCTGGCATGGAGTCGGGCATGGGGGTCAGCACACACAGGGGCACGGGGACGATGGCAGAGAAGACATCACTTCAGAGCCAATGCTTTGAGACGAGCTGTTGCCAACCAAAAGAAGAAGTCTGAGAAGGAGAAACACGATGAGCAAAAGCACTGACAAGCATCAGCTGCTGCCCACGCACGGCGGGTCCCTTCCGCCTCCGGACAGGACATGAGTGAGTCCACAAAAGCCGAGTCCGTGGTGACCCTTGGCTGTGCTAGGAAGGGGCAGGGCACTTCCGGGGCTGACAGTGTTCTACCTTTGACCTGCATGGTGGTTACAAGATGGGTTCTTTATAAATCACTGAGCATATGGTCGTATTTTATGCACCTTCTGGTAAATGTATTTTATAACAAGCGGGTTTTTAAAACGTTGAGCATGGCTAGAACAAGGGTATGTGGAAGGAAATGATGGAACATGAAATGAGAAGATGGGCAGAGGCCAGACCACAGATCACGCACTGTGCTCTGATCCAACATAAACGGAGGGGCTCTGGAGGGTCAAGGACAGAATCCTAGCTTTACTTCAGAAAGATGATTCTCACAGCGGCGAGGAGGGCCATGCAGCCCTGAGGGCTCAGCCCACCTGCTGGAACATCAAGTTCAGTAAATAATGAACAAATGAAGAAAGTATTGAATGAGCAAATTCATTATAAATGGGAAAACTACCTTTGATTTCACTCATTCAACAAATATGTTGTGAGCTCTACTCTGTGCCAGCCACTTTTTAAAAATTATCTATATTTCCATAGCAGTTGCTAGGATAAAGCCACGAAAAGCCAGGCTTGCTCCAGATTTATAAAGGTTTCTCACATGCACCATCTCACTGGCCCTCCCAGCCACCTGCAGATGGGGCACAGAAGACATGAGTCTTACTCAGAGAAAAGGAAGAACGAGGCCGGAAGACTGCGAGATTCATCTAGGAGCACAGTCTTGGTGAATGACAGGACGGAAACGTGAACCCAGGTCTTCGGGTTTTAAATGGAAAAAGTAAACCATCCTGGTAGCCCTTTTATCCCTGGGAACGAGCTGAGCTCTGCAATATGAAAAAGATAATCAAGTTCACTGTCTTGCCTTCTTCTAAGAGAGTAGAAATGACAGACCCATTTTTAGAAAAACCAGCCAACTTAGCAGCAAACAACCAGAAGAATAAAGGATAATGAACTCTAATGGATAATGAACACCGAGCCTAAAGGAAAATGAACTCTCCAGAAAGTATGCTTAGCGATGACCCAATCAAGAGAAGAGACTCTCACTCATTCAGGATCTTGCTTGGTGGCTCCACTAGCTAGAGCCATGACCTAGGACTTTGAGATGTTCACCTTCTGGGGGACTGGTAATGAGGCTGGGCGCGGTGGCTCACGCCTGTAATCCCAGAACTTTGGGAGGCCGAGGCAGGAGGATCACAAGGTCAAGAGATCGAGATCATCCTGGCCAATATAATGAAACCCCATCTCTACCAAAAAATACAAAAATTAGCTGGGTGTGGTGGTGCGCACGTATAGTCCCAGCTACTCGGGAGGCTGAGGCAGGAGAATTGCTTGAACCCAGAAGGTGGAGGTTGCAGTGAGCCGACATCGAACCATTGCACTCCAGCCTGGTGCCTGGTGACAGGGTGAGACTCTGTCTCAAAAAAAATAAAAGAGGTAACGAACACTTTGAGAAAAATTATGAAAGACTCAGAAATGGGCAGCAGGGAAAAGAATTTCTGATTGCCTTCTAGTCCTGTAGTAACTGGTACAGGTACTCACAAAGAGATAAGCAGGAAGGTTTTAACTCAGGGGTACTCAGAGAAGGCACTGATTACACAGGCCCATCCCATTCACATGTCTACACCTCGTGTGGAGTGAGGCAGCAGACCAAAGAGCTAACAACAGAGCTGTGTGAACTCTGTTGAAAGGACGTTGTTGATTAGGAATCGCTCTTTGTATTAGTCAGGACTCTCCAGAGAGATAGAAGCCATAGGAGACTGCCAGATTAGATAGACAGATGAATAGACGGATGGATGGGTGGACAGACAGATGGATGGATACATGGATGAATGGAATGACGGACAGGTAGATGGGTGGAAGGCAGGCAGTCAGGAAGGAAGGAAGGAAGGAAGGAAGGAAGGAAGGAAGGAAGGAAGGAAGGAAGGAAGATTGATTCGGGGCAATGGCACATGCAATTATGGAGACCTGAGAAGTCCCACAGCCGTCTACAAGCTGGAAACCCTGGGATGCTCGTAGTGTGGCTCAGCCCGAGTGCAAAAGCCTCAGCACCAGGGAAGCAGACGGTGAAAATGTCAGTCAGAGAGAAGGCCTGAGAATCCAGGAGGT